CGCCCCCCCCCCGCGAAGCCCCTGGTTGGGGGTTGGGATTGTTTTGGTTGGCAGCCGCACACGCGCGCACACCAGACACACACCCCTCTCGGCTCCGTAGAAAGCAGTTTTGATGTTCTCCATCCAGGAGAGCCTGGCCAGAGGTGGGCTGACCATGAAGGAAGAGCCTTTGACCGGGGGACTGTCCGCTGTCCGGTCCTGGATGCAAACCACTGGCGTTCTGGATGCCCACACGGCTCTGCAAAGGTAGGATGGACAGACCCCTTCCTTCTCCTTCTCCTTCTCCTTCTCCTTCTCCTTCTCCTTCTCCTTCTCCTTCTCCCCCAGCCGGTGAGGCAGAGGAGGGAGGGTGGGGACCTGCCATGGAGCTGGCCCATCTCCTCCATTCCCTCTCCCCTGCCTCAGTTTCCCTTCTGGTCTGGGCACCCACCGAGGGTTTGAATGCCTCCTTCTGCAGGAGGTGGAGAGCAAGGGGAGAAGATGGCATCTCCCTCCAAAAGGGAAAAGCAAGAACAAAATGCAAACCAAGGGCTGCCTTCTTCAGTTTTAGAAACTGGTTTGATTTGGATTAATGTTGAACGATGGTGGCTTGAGTGGGCGCAAAGGAACCGGGAGCTTTGGAGGAGGATGGCTGTGATGGTCAGCACCATCCCCCGGGCCATGGCACAGGCGTTTTGGTGAGGCGGTGGACCCTGGGTCAAAGCATCTAACTCAAGTGGCCCAGTGGGATGATGAAGAAGAGAGAAGCCCTCTCCATTTATCTATCCCTTTGTTGGTGCTCTTCAAGGACCATCCAGATTCCCCTGGAAGTCACTCTTTTCAGACCTGGCTTCTTCGGGCAGAACCAAAAGCCACTTGGGCTGGAACTGGCAGGGACCATCAGAGGACAGTTGTGTGAAGATTAGTCTGAGGCTGGTGTTACGTTTCTGGGACTTACGTGGCTGGAAAGCATTCCTTGAAAGTAACACTTCTGGATGGAAAAGCAAAACCCTGCTGAAAGAGTTAGTCTGATTTCTCATTTAGTAACACCCACTCCTGCGATTTTTCAACTTTCAAATTACCTTGTAAAGTTCTTTTTTAAAAAAAGGCATTCGTAGTTTTGAAAAATCCTATAGAATTAACTCTCTACCTTCCCTCTCCCGTTCTAAAACAGCAAAACAATCTCCCATCTTTCTCTTTGTTGCTGGATTTCTCCGCATCACAAATCCGCCTCCCTTTCTCTTTCTTTCTGTCTCTTACAATTATTTCTGTCAGTCAATAAACAAGGTTATGTGAATCATTTCTCCCAGGACTTGACGAGTATGGGAGTTTGTTCCTTTTGATTTAAATTGATTTGCTATTGATCGCAAATGTTCCCTGACCTTTGACATCCAATCTTGCTTGGCATGTAGTTCAGTTTGGTTAAACAAAGGAAATAAGAATTAGGTTTCATAGCTAATGAATTAGGTGAGTGGGACAGACAGAACCATGCTTCTCCCCTTCCCATTTTTTTCCAGGACCTGGTTCACCTAAGATTCCAACTGAATTGAATGTTGGCCTCTGCCAGTTCATAGACTTCAACCTCTCACTGCCAGCCTTCGCCATCTCTTTTAGTTTGAGGGTGGGATACCAGGCCCACGTCTCCTTGTGGTGGCACACAGTCTGAGGACTGCCCCGAGAAGGAATCTTGAGATGCAGTTTGTAAATTCACTAGTGCTCCCTCATTGTCCAACCATGCTAGAGCAAAGCATTGCCGCAGTTGATACAATTCCTCGAGCACTCGCGTTCCCCCACCACACAAATATTCCAAGTCTTTCGGCAGCCCTACAGCTCAATCTTTAGTTAAGCATATAAGGTAGTAGGTAATGGGAAAATCATATGCCTGAAATCTACGAAAGCTCAGCCAGGATGGACTCGGGGGCCTGATGCTGCGAGCGGTATTGCCCTGTCTTTCTGCATTTTCTGTGGACAGTCCACTCCAGAGCTGCTCTGTGCCCTCAGGAGGGGTGCAGAGCAAGAGGTGCCAGTTAAGCCCCAAAGGCTGTACAGTTCTGATGGTATCTGACCCTCAGCCATGATTAGCAGGGTTTTTGCCCACGGCTACCTAAGTCGATAGGTAGGTTCTCCTCTCTGTGCCCAACCTGTTTCTAGATGTTGGCTCAGCAATCTGACCCAGGGCCGGGCAGCTCCAGCTGAGTTCAGCAAAGGAATTATGTCGACCTGGCTTTGGGGCTACAGTGGGTCAAGTACTGGCTGAAAGAAAATGCATTTAGCAGTCACTGGATCCTGCAGTTAGCGAGTAGAGTTGGCCTAATGACAGGTGAAGAGAGTATTGGGAAAGACTAGAGGAAGGGGCCCCAAGCTAAGGAAATCTACGTCAAACCCGTGAGCGCCCTTGCCCTCTTTCTCTGGAGTCAATCATTCCAACATTTCACTTTTTCCAGTTTTTGCTCTGAATTGGACGATTCCAATTGTTAAATGAATTCTGCCTTTTCAGGGAGTAACTCTGGAAAAGGCAGTGGTTCATCGTTACAAGGATCCACATTTTTGGAATATTCCTCATTCTTGTTTGAACCATCTGGGCTGAATTCATTCAGAAAGAATCATTACTTGCTTGCTTTTTTTTTTTTTTTAATGTTGGCCCGGATAGAAATCTGTATCTATCTATACAAATCTTGGGCCAAGGAGAAGGAAAAGCACCTCCTTTTTCCATAAATTATATTCTTGCCTTTCTCTTTAATGCAACCTGAGCGAGCCATTTTTTAAAAATTCCACGCCATAATTTTTCTTCTAGAGTCGTCTAAGTGGACCAGAATAAGTCCAACTTTCATCCTCCCTTCTTTCCAGTTCAGACCTACATAATCTAACTGCTTCTTTTCTTTCCTTCAACCCACCTCTCCTTCAATTTCTGTGCCAGTATTTCTTCTCTCCCCCCCCCCCCAAGGGGGGGGGGACCAGGGTTTCCACCGGGGGGTAGGGGTTCCCCCAAAACCCCCCCGGGGTGGGGGGCAAGAGAGGGAGGGTCTC